ATAGAATATCATTTACGTAATGTATATAAAATGGTATAACTATTCAAAACATGTAGAAAATTCAATGACAAATACCTATTATTAGCTCGATTAATCATCAAGAATGTTATGTCATATTCGTTTTCTTGTTGATTCGTTTTTTTTGTTGATTTATATCCATATAGATTGAAAAAATGCTTGCGAGTTGTGAGTGTAAAAAATAATCAAGTAAATATGTGAAAAATAGAATAAAATATTGAGAAAATGTAGACAAGGGCACTTAGCGAAACAATTTCATTTTCGCAAATTGTGTAAAATTTTGAGTGAAAAACGAATATTTTACTTGTTAGAATATCAATTTTGTGAATGATATTTGTAAAATCTAGTTTGGATAATACAATTTTCAGGAGCATTAAGAGGAATAATATAACGGTGAGACTCTTAAAATTACTCCTAATTAAAATGTTTGATTTTATAGTGAGGACAAGTGAGACCATCGATTACTACGATAACAAATTCATGAATCAATGGATCACATGATTAGTTTAGTTTATGATATGTCGTACTCTATATATTAATCTCTTTATTATTATCATTTAAATTAATAACTCCAAATTATTTTGACAAGTTACACGATTCAATGATTCATGGCCCTCAATTTTACGAGTTCAAATTAGAAAACTAAAGTATAGGGTGTTTTATGCACTCGTGTAAACCGTAGGGGTAACATTTGTAAAGTTTCTATAAGATGTCGAGAAAGAAAAACCCTAGCAAAAAGCCTTCACTCGCTACATGGTGTAGTAGTAGTATCTGGACTTGACGAAAACGGAGCGTTCTGCTACTGCTTGATTGCTTTCAGGTGAGGATTTTTATTTTCATATGTAAGAATCATATGTTTTAGTGATCGATATGTGTATTTTGTGATTACATTTTCTAATAATTTTGCAGCTTTTGTCATTGCAAATTGGATGCACTAGGGTTTTTTTAGCTGATCGTACATGCGGCATTGATGGATATCTGATTTATTACAGTTCAGAGATGAAAGTGCAATTTTCTGGTTAAGAAAATTTCTGGATAAATCAGTTTGATTTTGATTTTTCGCTTTGTCTGTCGTTCTAACAGAAAGATCAAGGGTTTAGAAAATGAATCTGAAGCATTTCTTATCGAGACTGACAATTAACAAGGTGTCAAGATTTAGCGGTAGAAGAACTCCATCATGGAATTACAGAGAGGTTTGCACCAGTCGTTGTATTACCCCTCTGATTTACCTTCCAGAATATCATAAAGACGATTCACGGATTGGAAACCCTAAAACGCCGATGGCACATTCATTATTCTATAGATTTGTTCATTCTGGCCAAGAAACTGTTCCGAGCAGTACCAATGCTGTAGAGACTGTTTCTGTAGACTCAGAGGACGATGATGATGTGGTAATGAATGAATTCTTATCTAGATTCGTTTGGATCATGAGAGGAAAGCTTACAGAGGTTTATACCAATGCTGATAAAAAAGAAATCGATGCAATGCTTCATATCATTGTTGAGAAGGTTGTATCAGAAATGGAGGCAGGTCGTCTAGAGTCTTTTCTTGGCTCTGAAACAGCCTCTGTGTCCCAAGATTTTAGTGAGGATTTATGGAAAACAGTGTGGGAGGTTAGCAACATTGTTGTAGAAGATATGAAGAAGGCTAAAAAGAAGGAAAAAATGAAGAGTTTTCTTCAGTCTGAAGAAGTTAAAGATATGGCAAGATTTGCTGGTGAAATAGGGATACGAGGAGACTTGCTGAGAGAGCTTAGGTTCAAATGGGCTCGTGAGAAATTGGAAGATAGTGAGTTTTATGATTCATTGGAGCTTTTAAGAGAAGAAGCTAAGGAACCAGAACCAGAATCAGAAACAGAAAAAACCGAATTTCATGAAGATAGCATTGAGAAAGAAGATGATGCTGAGGAGATTTCTTTACCCAAAAGGAGTGGAAAGATTAAATACAAGATCTATGGCCTTGATCTTTCCAAACCCAAATGGGCAGAAGTGGCTGATCATATCCATGAAAATGGAGGCTCTGTATGGCCTCAAGAACCAAAACCATTATCTGGAAAATCAAAGATTGTTACAGAGAAAATACTTTCATTACAAGTAGATGATGATCCTTCACCACTGATTACAGAATGGATAGAGCTACAACAACCTAGCAGGATTGACTGGATTGCATTGCTTAACAGATTAAAACAACAAAATGATCAACTATACTTCAAGGTATTCTTCTCTTAAAACATGTATTTCAAAAGTTTTCAATTACTTGACTTCTGTAATCTTCTTCTTCTCTTCACAAGGTTGCAGAACTTCTACTCGATGAAGAATCTTTCCAAACCACCATAAGAGATTATTCACAACTAATCGATGCATACGCCAAGAACAACCAATTAGACAATGCAGAAAGAATCATCAAGAAAATGACCGAAAAGGGCATATCACCAGACATCCTAACAAAAACCACAATGGTCCACATGTACAGCAAAGCAGGCAATCTGAATCTTGCAAAAGAAGCTTTCGATAGCTTAAGAAGCTTAGGCTTCCAACCAGACCTCAAAGTTTACAACTCCATGATCATGGCTTACATCAACACAGGTGATCGAAAATCCAGTGAAGCTTTAATGAGAGATTTAGAGTCACAAAACTTCAAACCCTCTGAAGCCACATTTCTTGCATTACTCAAATCCTATGCTCAAAATGGAGATCCAATTGGAGCACATAGAATCTTCACACGTATGGAATTTGCAGGATTCCCACGAAGTCTTGAATCATGCACTTATCTTGTTGAAGCCTACAGCAGAAAAGGCAACCCTGATCAAGCAAGAACACATTTTGATGACATCATCAAACTCGGGTACAAACCAGATGACAACTGCATTGCTAGAATGATTTCAGCTTATGCTAAAAAGAATCTTCTAGACAAAGGTCTGCAACTTTTGCTACAGCTTGAAAAAGAAGGAACTGAACATGGTGTCGCGACTTATTCTGTCCTCATAGATTGGTTAGGGAAGTTGCAATTGATGGAAGAAGTGGAGGGTATTTTGGGGAAGTTATCTGAGAAAGGTGTGGATCCTTCATTATCAGTTCATTTAAGTCTGTGTGATATGTATGCGAGAGGTAGAGAAGAGAAGAAGGCTCTTCAAGCACTTGGTGTTGTTGAAGCTAATAAGGAGAAGTTGAGAGGTGATGAATTTGAGAAAGTTATAAGTGCTCTTATTGCTGGTGGATTTAAGCAGGATGCTGAAAGGATACATAACATGATGAAGGAGCAAGGGTTTAAAGTGTCTGAACAGTTGAGTGTGACTTTACAAGCTGCTCAGACGTTTAATCGTAAGAGACCTTCTTTGATGAGATAGTTTGGTAAGTTATATTCTTGTTTAATGAAATATTTTGTTGGATTTTATCATTTTTAGTAATAACTTGTGATCTTGAAACTAAGATGGATGGGTTATTGGATCATTTGATTTGATAATATGTTGGTTTATTTATTATTATAAAAGTTGTTAGAGTTTAGCATAGAAAAAGATAGGATGGTTGACATTTTTGCTTGGATGTAAAACTTGTTTCTTATTTCCATCTTTTGGAAATGGTTTGTATCTCACTTTTTGTTTTTTTATTTTTATTGCTTTTCATGAAATAAATTCAGCGAAATAAATGTTGAGATTAAGACAAGTTGCATGAATATGTGTGATTTTGATAATATGTTGGTTTTTTCTGGACTGCTACCTGTTATCTCAAGTTGAATATGTCATGCCTTTTTAAAATTTTATATTTTTGGCCCAAATTTTAAATTTTTTTTACAAATTTGGTCCCAATTTAAAATTTTGATAAAAATTTCATGTCAAATGTAGTTTTTTTTAAAAATTTATTTTCTACAACTTTTTAAAGACTTCTTTATAGTGGCTTATAAAATTTTTATCTTAACTTTTTTTTTCCCAATTTTTTTTAAAAAAATCTTTTATAATTTTTTTTTAACTTTTTTTATTCCAACTTCTACATTGCCTCGTATGCAAACTAGTTTTTTTGAAATAAATAATTTTACAAAATTGTTTAATTTTTCCTCTGATTTTAAATAATTCTGCATATGTTATTTCATCAAATCCAATTGTGCACAATCAACGAGAAAAATTGGTTTCCCAATGTATGTGAGTCGATGCAAGAGTTGGAAAAAATTTTAAGAAATTATCCTAATAGATTTTTTTTAAAAGCTGGAAAAAAGTTGAGATTTTTTTATAAATCATTATAAAAAGTTGTAGAAAAATAAATTAAAAAAATAAAAATTAGGGTGAATTTGTAACTAAATTTTAAATTCAGATCAATCCTTCCTAATAAATAAAGATCTTTTTTGCTACATGTCACATTCTTATTTATTTTGCCACATGTAATTTTGTGGTTATTTTAAATTAATTTTTATTTCATATGTCATTTTATGGTTTTTTTCACTTTCTAAAATTCCAGATAGTATTTAAATGCAATAATAAGTGCATACCAATTTCATTAATTTACTTTTCTTCTAATTTCAAAATTACTAAGTTAAAGATTCATTAATTTTCTTTATTTATTTATCTAAATTATTTGTTTAAATTTAAAAAAAAAAAACACTTAAATTTTTATAATTCAATGTTTTCTTACTTTTCTTATAAATTTAAACTTTTCAAATGTTTAAAATTTTATATTTAGTTTTTCTTTTAAATAAACTCATATAATATATAGGTATCACACCTAGTTCATATTAAAATTTAAAATCTAAATCAAAAATATAAAATTTGAAAGAGGAATAACCTATTCAACCTAATTGTATCCATACAGAAAACATGAGTTAATTACTAATTACCTATTTAAAACATAAAATTGGTTATTCTTCAACTTTAAAACATTTTGAAAAGTTAGTTTAAAACAATGATAACTCTTACACAAATATATTTACATCAAACCCAAACAAAAATAAAAACATAAATCGTGATAATATTATCACAACAATTAGTACAATTTTCATTCACATGCGGGTTTAGTATCAAAACTACTTAAACAAATCGCAAACGCTTGAAAAGCCGACAACGGGTACCGATAATCCATTGTAAAAATATCTTTCCCAATCTTCCCAAACTGCAACACCACATCATCTTCTTCCACACCTCCGCCACTATCAACCGCCAACTGAAAGTTCTTAACCGACGCCACTGTAACCCGCCCTTTAAAATTCAAACACCAACACTGCAACTGCTCGTGCCACCTCGGCGCCTTGTTTCTCAAAACCAACGAATCTTTCCTTTCCACAACCGGAATCGGAATCACCGATTCCGATTCCGGTGTCTCGTGTTTCTTTCCGGTTTGATCGGAAACGGGGATGGAGTTCATCGTGCAATTCATTCTTCTTGGTCCTCTTGTGCGTAGAACATTAAGCTCGTAAGATATGGTGACCACTTTGGACTTAAACACTCGTGATATTTTTTTTAAACCAAATTTTGGTATTTGTTTAATTGTTGAAGAGTCGTAAGAAGGTTCCACATCGTGAATTGCGAATTTAGTGCCGAGAAAATTGGAACTGTAAATGGTTTATTCAAATTAACAGTCAGTCCCTCAGTCAACATGAAAAAGTAAATCACAGTGTTTTAAGAGTTTCGCAACAAAAAAAACCTAGATTTGGACATGTGATGTGACTACAAGTATGTGGGGGTAAAAATGGAAATTAATAGGGTGAAAGAAAGAAGATAACCTTAGCTTTCCAACATAAGTAAGGCTAGATTTGGAAAATTCGTCAGGAGTTAAGGAGATTGAAAACTCTGTCCCTGTGGCTTTTCTCACCTTCTTTGCAGCCAATAGTAACTTACTTGCATCACCGGCTAACGCTGTAATTTTAATTTACAGAAACTGTAAATTTTTTTTAATTTTTAAAAGGAAAACAATCAATTATCCTCCAAGTTTACTTTATTATCCTTTTAGTCACTCGATCAAAAGTTCAAAACCCAAAAGTAAAAAAAGTAAAAAGTAAAAAACACATTTTTTTTTTACCTGGGCTCAGCCCTAGATACAACCGGAATATCGAATTAGCTCTATCTCGCCTTATAAAGCATTGAATCGGATCCTTTCTCGATCCAGGCTAAAACGAAGTAATTCAAACATATCGGAGTTAGAACACTAAATTGATTTGAGATTTGAAGATGATTGATTGATTGATCGAAGTACCTGTTTTAGCGACATGGGGAATGTGATTAATCCGCATTGTTCAGGTGTTCTAACGATTTGCTTTACAGTGTTTCTCCAGAATCTGCAAACCGAAGCACAAGCGACCATATCTCTCCTAGCTGGCCATGAGCTTTCACCACCTTCCACTCGCCGGATTATGTCAAGAAGCAATTCGCCGGGGAAATCGTCCCATTTGCTATCTCCGATTGAAGAAGGTAAAGATCTTGGAACTGAATCGTAGTTTTCTGGAACAATATGTGATTTCCCATTTTTCATGATCTGAATTCTCTTGTTGGTATTGCTTCCAAGTAAACAACTGAGTGACATATTCAAGAACATGAATTTGGAAGTATACACGATAGTTTACTTGTTGGGTAACATAATGATAAAAAGATTCAGCAGTGTTGTAGCGTAAATTGGTTCAGGCATTATAACAAACAGATGGTGGGTATGCACCACACTCCTCATGCATATGAATTGCATGATTACACAACATGATGGAATAAACAAAATAATTGAAGGACGATAAGGAACAGTATCGTTTTCCTTTTTCGAATATTTAAACATGGTTTTTATACAATCAAAGAAAAGGGAATTAAGTGCAACAATAAAGAATCTTAATTGAAACTGTAGATGAAGAATAAACGTTACCTGTACGTTAAGCATTTGGTGAGAGATCCCGAAAATTTGTTAATCACATCTCGTAAAAAGGTTCAAAAACAGGGGAATGAAATCTCTCACGTTATGATGTTTCCCGTGTAGCAACAAATTACACGAATTTCCGCACATGTGGAACGAGCTTCGATAATTTTTGATGGGAAGGATCGAGAAAATGGGGAATAAAGATCTCTTTTTCAGTTGTCAAAATATTTATCCACGGAAATGAATCCCCCCTGTTTTTCTCGAGTTGCTTCGTTTTCGAGTTTTGGTTAATTCAAGAAGTTGGTGGCCTTTGAAGCCTTGAAGGTACGTGACCTTATTGATATCCGCCATCAACGCCACCGTGACAAGGAATTAAAGCCATGCCGGCGACGCAGGCAGCAGCACCAGCTTTTCTGTAACATTGATCTTCAAAGCTTGCTCATTTATTGCGCGAAGGTTCTAAATACAATTATAGAGCAATATGTAATATATTAAATAGTTACAAATATATTCAAAAGAGAAACCATCCCAATCCAATTCTATTTTTCACACCGTGTAAAAATGATATTAACACTTTTTCATCTCCGACCTACATTATTTTTATATTATTTACATCATTTTTGTTGTAGAATCTTCGTGAAATATATTTACTACACAATAAAAAACAAATAAACATATAAGTTAAGGGACTAAAAGTAACATATGAAACTTTGACAAGGTTTAATTGAGGTTGGAGATGATCTTATACCATTTTGATGTAAAAAAAAAAGGTTTTGGTCTTGGTTTGGAGATGTCATTCACAATACATGAATATCAAAAGATATACTAACACACCCTCTAAAACTTAAGTGGGGAACATATGATCCAACTTGAGTTTGAAAACTAAAAACCAAAAATGCCTAGGCAAGTGTGTCTAGGTGAAGATATTTGCAGGCTGATCAATTGTGTCGATCGGAAGGAGATGAATTGGTTTAGCTAGCCACATGTTGACACAAAAAGGACATTCAATCTCATGTGTTTTGTATGATCATGTAAGGACCTCATTATGGTAAATGTGCATGGATTCGTTGGGGGGGATATATCACCTTGGAGGGAGGTATTTATTTATTTATTTTTTTCAATTTTTAGGCCTTGAGGTCTTTATAAACAAAACGCCAAAATAAACTTTAGTAACCAAGATGATAAATAAAGTTAGGATACAAGTTAGATGTTGGATGAAACCATACAATCACTTGGACCCAACTATATAGGAAAGGATCCCATAAGAGGGTGTATAATATATAAGAACTACACAACCACATGATCTATACTTTAAATAAAGTACATCAAGGAGTGGGTATGTACGATGCAATACAATTAGTCAAATACAAAGTAAAGAAATACAATACACCAATTACAACATGAAAGAAAGAGAAACAAAAAACAAATAGACACAAATATTAAGTGGTTCACACTATACTACGAAAGGTTACTCCGAACGATGGAAATATTACATCTAGTGATTTCATTCCCGACTTCGCTCCATCAAAATATGAGTCCTTTTAGGCAGGTCACTAATATGTGCAATGTCAATCCAAAATTCATGAAACACTTTCTATAAGTGATAATGTTGATCTCTCTATTTCTCACAATATTACAACATTTGTCTTTGTTTTACCTTTAATAATTGCTCAACCAAGTAATCTCGACAAATGATCAATGTAACAATATATAAGAAGATTTGTAAGTATTTTTCAAAGATTTGTTGCAAGGTTTATTCAAGAAAATAGAAAACAACAGTATAAAATAAAGAGAAATATAAGAAAAATGTATGTCACAATTCATCTAAAAAACTCTACCTATAGGTGCACATGGAACGAATTTTATCTTACCAGGTTTTTAAAACCATGTTATGTTTTATGGAGAATAGTATAAAAAAAAGGGTTGGGCCAAATATGGTTAGAAACCGATTTGAGAGGTAAAATATGACATCTTATGTAACCCATTTCAGAGATAGGTTTGAAACCGATTTTTAAAAATCGGCCTAAAAATTATGTACTTTGTCACTTTCACAATATTTTGCTGAACTTGATTTAAATGTCAGAATTGAATGACATTTTAATGGTTGGCTAGAAAACGACCATAAACGTAAGCTAATTTGGGTCGTTTTGGCTCGTTCAAATGGTCAAACTCGTATTTCTATACTTTCAATTTTTTTTGAAACGAAAAATATCTTTAAAAATCCATGATTAGCAAGTAGATAAATGAAAACATAGGAGAAACAAAGAAAAATAAAAAACTAAAAAACTAAAAGGGGGAAGTAGATAAATGAGCAAATGGCGAACAACTCCACTCAACCAAACCGCCATAATTCAGGCGACTCCTATGCTTACACCATGAGTATGAGTTTGAGATAATATTATCCACGATCTTCGGATGAGCAACTCGAATATTCTTGAAGATCTTATCGTTCCTGGCGAACCATATGTACCATACTACTCCAAATAGAATAACATCACCAATCACTTTCTTCCTTTGACAATTGTCCCATATAGTGTTTGTAATAAGAAATCCAGTGTTACTAGAGAACCCTCGAACAGTAATACCGGACCATTTAAAATTCCAGAAGTGAACCTCCTTGGCGAATTCACAGTGCAGAAAAAGATGATCCACCGATTCGACATCCTTGTTGCATAAAGTGCACATCATTTGATACTTGTAGCCCTCGTGCTATTAGATTGTTTGCTACTGGAATTCTTCCATGCACGACTCTCCACACGAAACACCTAACTTTTAATGGTATTAATTTTGACCAGGAGATCCGCAACCCTTTCAAGAGGATCAGTTTCGAGTCTATGATATGCCTCATACAGTTTACCACGTAATTACCGTTTTTTGTCGGCACAAAACAAAAACCGTATGGCGAAGAATCCTCCGAGTTATTCAGGTCACCAATATCCTTGTATAGTAGAAGCATGTAACATCCATAAAATTTCATAAAATTTAAACTTTTCAAAACAACCCTTTTTCTATAGAAGTGTTTACAAAAACCGTTGTTCCCAAAACATTATTTAAAAATCAGAATCTCTTTCAACATAGTTTTCAAAACATTCACATTATCAGAGTTTCCCAGAAATCATAAGTCCAAAACACGAGGATGTGTACGGGCATGCCTTCACCTTGCCACGATCCACTGAAGTACCTGAAACCATAAACCAAAACTGTTGGATATAGTGTCTAAGTCCATAACTATATTTGGTATGTACTTGACCCGACCCGGCATGGTCCATTTGGGTTGCACTTCACCCGAACAATTTATGGATAATCTTTTGAGAATAGTATAAGTTATGATTTATTAATATATTATAAGTTATAATATATTAATATAAAATCATATTATTTAATTAGTATTGATCTATAATTAATCTAGGATTAATTTAGAGATCAAAAGTATGACTAATTAAATATGGGCTCTTGTATTTATATAGTGTGAGCTAATACTTATTTGGAATGGGCTAGGCTTGCATGGAAAGTCCATAGATACTCCATAGAGCTTTAACCCATGGATCTCATGGAAATGAAAAGACATGGGTATTAGGGTTTACATGGATGTAACCCTAATCCACCACACTATATAAAGGAGGCTTTGGTTCTTGAAATCACACTAGTTGTGGTGAGTAAAGTAAGAGGGCCGATTTCAAGAAAGGTGATTACTATTCTCTCAAAATTCCAAGTTTGTGGTGATTTGTGATTTCCATTTGAGGCATCCACACTATTGGTGCTAGGCTCTAAAACTCCAAGCAATCAACTACAACTACAATGTAAGTAATTCTACTAGCTTTATTTGATTCAAGTTCCCCATGCCATGCTAGATAGGATAAGAACCTTGGAAAAATAATTATTTGCATGTATCTTAGTCAAACATAGATCCAAGGTTTCTAGGGTTGGATGTACACCATAGGAGTGTTAGAATGCTCAAAACCCATCAAAAACTGTAAGCACGAAGCTTAGTGGGTTCCCCCAAAATACCAACACCCAAACAGATAACATATACACATAACAACATGTATTGGGTCCACAACTAAAAGACTGGATTACCCCTTGAGCCCACAGTATGAGTCTGGCTTGCCTATCAGGCCCACAAGTCATATCTGGATTGTTCTCGAGCCCACAACATAAGTCTGGTTTGCCCTTGGGCCCACATCTTATGTCTGGCTTGCTCCATCAGTCCTTGGACTGGAATACCAATGAGTTGCCCTCAGTACGAGTCTGGCATACCACCCGGTCCTCAGCTCGTATCTGGAATACTAATGAGCCCTCAGTATGAGTCTGGCATGCCCTCCCTGGCCCTCAGCTCATATCTAGAATGCTAATGAGTCCTCAGTATGAGTCTGGCATGCCCTCCCTGACCCTCAGCTCATATCCAGAATGCTAATGAGTCCTCAGCATGAGTCTGGCATGCCCTCCCTGGCCATCAGCTCATATCTGGAATGCTAATGAGTCCTCAGTATGAATCTGGCATGCCCTCCCTGGCCCTCAACTCATATCTGGCATACTCCAGGGATTGTTGCTACAACACAAAGCAGTACAATCTCAACCCAACCCACATAATATGTCGACATATAACAGATAATATCATATACAGATAAACAGAAAGTAACACAGTCAGTCCTACAGATCTACCAGACTAACATATCAAGACTAGCATAACCAAACTAGCATGCGTATCTATTCCATACTCGACATATCAACAATATAAGGCTATCAACCAAAGGTCCGACCTTAGTGCCTTCGACCCCAATGTACAGTGAAAAAAACTCACCTTGAATGCAGAAGCTCCCCGAAAGAAAATCCTTAGCTGCTGCACTGCCGGCTTCCCGAGCTATCAATACCAACAACACACCCAATTAGCAATTGGGTTTCATGCTATAATCCATAATCCATACTTGGGGTAAAATGACCATTTTACCCCTGGCTCAACATGAACCAAAACTGAGGCCCAAAACTAAAAGATCCACAAAGGCCCACTAATGGCCCAATTTTCCAAATTGGGCCCAATCCCATTTGGGCCTTATCCTAAGCCCATACCTTTCCTTATTACAATTCAGATTACTTCAAGCACCCTTGGGATAAACTTGGTCAAAGACATAAATCTGAAAGTCAAAGTC